TTTGTTTTAAATGTATCTGTCTGTTTTCAGTCATAATGCATATTACATTTGAAATCTATGATTTTTTCACATAGCTCGCTTACAGTATTATTAGTTCAAATGAAGTTAGAAAGAAAGCATGGCTACTAAATATATATCTTGGACGTCCCAGGCACATTATGTGATGTAGTTTTTGCCGCTGATCCCAAGTATCACCTTATTTTTGTTTTAAAATGAAGTCCTGATGCCAAAAATCAAGTTTAGAAACGATTGTTTATTGATGAAAAAAATGAAAATATTGAAATGAAGAAAATATTTGAAAGTAAAAAGCCTTTATTTTCAACATTGAGAAAACAAATTCGTTTTTCTAAAACAAAACACATTTCTCAACTTCAAAATCAGATTTTCGTCAAGTGAAAGTCAAAGTCTTTGAAATATGGAAACAAAATTGAATTGGGTTGTAATTGAAAGAACAGTTGTTCAAATAATTCTTCATTGTTGAGAAAATGAACGCTCACTCTGCTAAATATTGTTTAAAATGAAAATGAGAGACTCATTTCAATGTAATCGACCTTTATTTCTACTCGATATTTTTGTTTTATTTCAGCACCAGTACGTTCAAGTTCGATTGACATTCATTCGAATGCAAAATGGATACAGAATAGTCTCACTGTGGCTGGAGGAAATAGTGACGGCAATGGAATCAATCGAGTCTATAACTCCTGCGATTTGTATGTCGACGATGATCAAATTATTTATGTCGTTGATCGCAGTAATGACCGTATTATGGAATGAAAATGTGATGCGACGGCTAGGCAAGTGGTTGTCGGTGAGAATGGAAGTGGAAATGGAACTCATCAGTTGAATTCTCCTAAGATGTGATTGTCCGTCCACAAACAAGGAGATAGTCTCGTGACCTACGATTTGGGGAATGCACGAGTACTTCGACGGCCTCGTCGAAATGGTACTAGTGGAGAAACACTCATCTCGAACATCTCCTGCACCTGTTTGACAATGGACGGGAACGGATCTCTCTATGTCGCTGACAATGGAAAAGATGAAGTGAGACGATATGGAATTGGTGACACTGAAGGAACAGTGGTTGCAGGTGGAAATGGAAGTGGAAATCGTCTCGATCAAGTCTCTAACCATTTGAAAGTATTTGTCGATCGAGATCATGCAGTGTACGTATCTGATTGTAGAAATCATCGTGTGCCGAAATGGGAAGAAGGTGCAAAACAAGACATTGTCGTAGCCGGTGGTCAAGGCAAAGGTCCTATGGGAGTCGTTGTTGATCAATTGGGCACTGTCTAATAGACAGTCTGACAATCAGCCACATAATGTAGCTAATTGTTATAATCATCGAATCATGCGTTGGCCAAAAGGAGCCACATAGGGAAGTATCATTGCTGGTGGAAACAGTGAAGGAGGACAGTCGAATCAATTAAATCTTCCCCTTGGTTTATCATTCGATCGACATGGCAATCTCTACGTTGCCGATGAGAAGAATCATCGAGTACAAAAGTTTAATATTCATTCAAATTCATAGTTTATTGTTGTCGTCGGCATCATAGATGGCAGTTGAACGCGAAAGACAGAATGCATCTAGATATTTTTGGTGGGCAGGTTTTGCTCGGGAACACAGGTGTTTTTCGATAAAGATGCATTGATTTCGCTAAATTTATTTCTACAAATTCATCCTGGGCGGAATATAAGTCGACTGTCCATAGCCTCATTTTTCATTCTTCTGAATTAATTTCGCGTAACAATGGTGTGAGCATTGGATAAATTTTAATCGATGCATCATAATCAGTGCAGTGGAAAAATGTTTTTGCTGTTGTCTAAACAATATGATCACAACAAGAAGAGCAGCAAGCCACATAGCAAATATTATGCAATACCATAAAATACGATGTCTATTGTAATAAAGATAGAGTATCATTAGAGTATCGCGATGAAACCATGTACCTCCTTTTGTCTTCCAAAATATGGAACGATAAATTCTGTTATCAAATGTACGTACAACTTGTTTGTCTGTCTGTTTGAAAAAGTATTCTTGAATTGTAGCATAGAGTGGACCAACACTAAGTAATATAGTGACATGATAAATGAGAAAATTATGATTGAACAGATGCAATCGTGAAATAAACTGCTTGTATATCGGATGACCAGCAGTACTAATCATGAAGTTGTTTTGAATGCCGAATACTTCTGCAGCTGGAAAAAGAGCAAGATGAGTCGAGCGTGGATCGAGTGCCTCCATAGTGGCTACTAATTCGCGGAAAGGACGATGACAAGCATTGTCCATATCAATATAAATACCACCTAAGTGAAATAAAAGTACGTATCGAAACGAATCGATACGCTGTATATCGTATCGATAACTGACAAAAGTGTTCCAATAGAAGTGAGACTCATGCTGTCGAACAAACGTATCCATGTCTGTGTGAGACCATCGACGATATTTAAACTCATTGGCATTCATCTTCATCACTGATTTTACCGTTGTATTCCAAATAGCAGGTATAGCATACGTACGATACGTTTGATGAATCACACGAGGTATACGTCGTCGAGGCCAAGTAACATTCGCATATCGAAATAGATCCATTTCATTTATAAACTTCTTGGAGGACCGACGTCGTAATGCATAGCATAGAATATAACTGATTAACAAAACGAATATGATGACCAGTACACAGGTATATATTTTGGCACGCCTTCGCCTAATGGTCATTAATATTCTTGAATGTATTTTCATGTTAAATATACCGTACTACGCTGTGCTAAAATGAGATTGAGTCAGACTTTTATTTTCGATCATTATTATTAAACCTAGAAAAATTCCTATAGAAAAATATATAATCACCTTAGCATAAAATAGAATTGCTCACTTAAGAACAGCTTTACACATATACTAAGAGAAAGTGTTAATTACTATTACTTTTCGTTACATTTCTATAACTTCATATGTTTACCCTATAGAACCTAGCAAAAATTTTATTTTTCCAGCAGAATTATATTTTCTTTCTGAAGATTTTTTTAATGAAATGCTAGTAGCATTTTTTCCACATATCAATACTTTTCTCCATTCTCTTCATATTATCGTATTGATCGATCGTTCGAAACACTTGTGATTAAATTAACTGATGATGAACACATCTAGAAATGGTCGAGAGACTCTGTAGTATATATTCACCAATAAAAGTTTCGTTTTCTATTTCTAGCATTTATTTGAACTATTCATTTCTACAGTCTTCATAGAGTCAACAAAAATTATTTAACGTTTTTTGTGACCTACACTATTTTCTTTAGAAATAAAAGAACGTCATTTTTTTTCGTTTCTTTGTCACTAACTTCACATCAATAATCTCTCTTCAAATGTCACGCGTGACTTTGATATCTTAATATGCGCTTTTGATTGTTCAGATAGCTCAAAATGTCCAACGTGCAGCGGAGAAGTCCTAAAAAAAAAGTAGCGCTCATCTAATTGTGTACGAGACAAACTAATCGTATAATACTGTTTCTGTCGGACATGCAATGGACAGCTACCTTGAGGGCGAGGGATGAGGATTATTAAAATAGTTCGATGAAACATCGCAACTTAGTAGATTCAGAAATGAAACCTGGTCTCCATCTGTTCTTCTTTAGTTCAATTGACGAACAAAAATGGGAATTTTAGCTGTTTCAAATAATATGATCGAAAAGCAGATTTTTCAATCGAAATTTCGATATTTAAATTGCATGATGACGGAACAAACTTGAGTTTTTGAAAAATATCTTGATTTCTGTTTCTTTTATTGTAAACCTCCTAAGCATAAGTATCTGAATAAATATCGAAGCATGTTATGTTCGAATGTAAACTTCTAGAAGCCAAATTTTTCCTCCTCACAAATGGACTAAAGTAGATACATTGAAATGTATATTCACAATAAATTTTTCAAAGTGCCTTAATACATGAAATTTTCATTTTTTTTAATAACTATGAAAGTGACTTGTTACTAAGGTGAAAAAACGTACTTTACCGTTAAACACAATTCAGAGTTATGAAAATGAATTTGTTCACATCTCCCCCACTGATTTCATTAAGACAACTGATTACTTTCATTTATTGTACAGAATAGGTACGAAGCCTATTAACTGAAATCATGGCGATGATTGTGGAAAGGAAAAAAAATTTCTTTCTCTCCCTGTTAGATATATATAGTATCTAGTTTTGTTCAGCGTTCATTTTTGCATCGACTGACATTTAAAAGAAAATTTTTCTGCGCATTTTCTCGATTTTGTAAAAATTTCAATAGCTGAAACGTGGGACTTTGAAAGGTTTTGAGA